GGGTACTCATAGTCGTGCATGCCGTAGTCGTTAGACCACTGACCACGCATCCTCGAGAGGACGGAGCTTTGATCCCACAGAACCGATCACCGATGGCCAATCGCTCCTTCCTACGTTTCCAAAGGTGACTCAATTTCCTTTCGTTGTCCTATCTATATAAACTTCCCACCTTTTCCGCCCACTTCCCTATACTCCAGAGGGGGGGTAGGCCAAGGGAAGTGAAGGGATATGTCGTTATGGATATACAAGCCGCTGTAATACTCTGGCGGATACCGTACATGCTGAAGACTCCCCCCTCGGACAGTCAGACACAAAGGGACCACAGGTAGGTGGGCAGACAAACGATGACTCGCGCCGTGTTGTGTGCTTGTGCCGCGTGAACCGACCGCGACCACCGCGCTTGCTTGCTTGCGCGCCCGCCCTAGGCGGAGTTCAAGGCAACACACAAGCAGGTGGACCAGACCCGCAACACCGATCTCAGGCCCGGGGAGCTTCGCACGGAGATCGGTCAGCTCGAGGACGAGAAGAAGCAGCTGACTGAGAAGATTTCCAAGCTTAAGGCCAACGTCTCGGACGAGCCTGGTGCGTGTTTTTTGGGTACCGGGGTGGGTGTACTGGGACGTGTGTGTGCGGCGTTGTTTGAGTGTGGGAGGGCCTTTCGCGTGGAAAGGGACATACCCGCATCATCGGTCCAAAAAGTTGTGGCGTGGGGCGGCTTGTTTTGTGTTTCTGTTGTGGCTCCTTTTGAGCGAACTCAACCAGTTTCCAGTTGACGTATGTTTGCGCGTCACTCTCGGGAGGATTTGTTTGCCATGGTAAATGTTCCGTGCAGACTTCGCATAATCTATGGCATGGCTTTCGTAAACGCCTCGTTTTCACTTCATGTGAGTATGTCTCTATTCACATGCTATCAACCCGTTGTACCCCCGACCCTGCCCCCCAAACCAACACCGCTCGCACGTGCGTTTCTTCTTTCTCGTTTTTTGTTGTATGCTATTTGAAGAATTAATATTGAACACATACAATCACAGACAGACTGACTGCCGGTTCGAGACAATACACAACACAGTCGAGAGGGACGTGTCAAAGCCGTCTTGTTTGTTTTTCTGTTGCTACCGCTGCACATACCCCAGGCTTCGCGGAGATGCTAGACGTGACGAGCAGGCTCCGGAAGGCCCAGGAGGACACGGTAGAGCTCGGCGCCAAGGCGGTCCAGCAGAGGGCCCAGCTCCACCAGGCCGAGACGAGGGCGGAGGACGCCCGCCGCCGCCTGGGGGTGCTCCGACAGGGGACGGCGTCGGCTACGACCGCCGCGGCGGTGCTGGGCCAGCTGCAAAGAGAGGTTTTCTACTGCTGAGTAGTAATAGTCTTACTGTAGGTGACGACGTGGCACCATGTCGCCCGTTCTTTCTTTTTTCTTTCACGTCGACCCGGTGGCGGGTGGGTGCGTCGGCACGAAGAGGGGGGTAATAGACAGCCCGCGCACGCTGTTGGTGCGAATACCTACTTAGAATGAATGCCATCGTGCTACGCGGGGTCGACGAGAGGTGGTGGTGGTCGTGGTGGTGGAAGGCGCAAACAGCCGACAATACATGTAGGGGAAGCTTGCCTGCTCACGTTGCCCACCGCCTTGTATTGCACGTGTCTACTTCCTTAACCCAACCCACGCCCGCCCGGTGTACCCCTCCCGCTGCCGCGCCTGCTGATTTGGTGGCGCTACGGCCACCCCCAAGGTCGCTGCGCTGGACAACAAGCTGACGCAGGTGCTTCCCACGGAGATCGGTCAGAAGACACGGAAGCTGGAGCAGCTGGAGCGCGAGGCCGCCGAGCCGCAGCGTTCGAGGGAGGTGCTGCTGTTGTTGTTTTTGCATGATGATGGTGCTTTGCTCTTTCTAGTCGTGACGAGGGGATAGGGTGTTGCGATCGTCTCCTTCATCCAGGCGTTACAGCCGGGGCAACCGAACCCTGATACGGTGTTTTATCGGTATGACAACTTGAAAGCTATCTGAGCTGCTGTGTCTGTCAATGTTCCTGTTTCGAAGGAGGCTTTTCGATTCGCACGAACACAAAGAACCTTCACTAGAAAATAAACATCTTCTTTCGACTGGCAGGGGACGCGCACGCACGTAGAACGCGTGGGGGGACATAGGGGGGGAGAGGGGGGGGGGCGCTCTCATGTTTTTCATGACATAGCGGTTAGACCATTGACCACGCGTCCTCGAGAGGACAGAGCATTGTTCCCACAGTACTATCACCGATGGCCAATCGGTCCTTCCTACGCTGCCAAGGGTGGCTCAAACATGTCTTCCCTAGTCTTATCTATCCTATCGATACCACTTCCCGCCTTTCCAACAAACTGGGGGGGGGGGAGTGACACGTCTGTCGGGGACGTTGTCGTGTATTGACTTATTTGGTCGTCGTGGTCGTCGTCGCCTCCCTTGAAGAACCGCATTTTCCTGCGTAGAGGGTTGGTCCGAAGGGGAAAGTTTGGTGTTTCGTTCAACGGCAGCTCACTTGTCTTATTTGCAACAGCGCGATCGTCTGGTCCTAAAAATCGGGGAGCGTGTTTATCTTTTTTCGGTGCGATCGTTCATTCATTTTTCTTGGAGCGTTTTTTTCGAGGCCGCGTGCTTTAGCTTGCTCTTGTTGGTGAGTGATCCCCTTCCCCTCCCCTGCCCCCGCTCTTCCGCCAGGACGTGCAAGAGATGGAGCAGCTGGAGTACCAACTGCGGAGGGAGAACGAGCAAACGAGGCAGCAGATCGAGAAGGCGCTAGCTGACAGGTGGCAACTACACGACTCTTGTCTAGTGCATGACAGGTCGGCTTCACGTGGCCAACCATTCCTACTTACAAGCAATATTGCAGCATCCCTCATGGTCCAACTGACGCGGACACCTCCCGTGGCCACAATAGATACCTCACAAAAAAACAGAGGGTATGTATGCACCGGAGCGTTGGATTTTGAATTTTAAGATGACGAGGGACTGTTCAATCGGCGTCGCGGCCACCATGGCATCGTTGCCTGACGATACCAAATCACCTACTAAATGTGCACCGGGAGTACGTCCACCCACCCACCCACCCACCCCGGTATCCTTGCCCTTGCCCTCCGAAAACCACCGTGTGATTCACAGACCTGACACCAACTTGAACATGCTGAGGCAGCCGGCGGCGCTGGCGGCGAAGAAGCGCGCCGAGAAGGAGGGCGAGTTGGAGAGGCTGCAGGAGGAGAGGGCCAAGCTGGCCGCGGAGATCGAAGACAAGGAGGTGAGTCGCTTAGAGTTAATGTTGTTGTTGTTGTTGTTGTTGTTGTTGTTGTTGTTGTTGTTGTTGTTGTTGTTGTTGTTGTTGTTGTTGTTGTTGTTATTGTTGTTGTTGTTGTTGTTGTTGTTGTTGCTGTTGCTGTTGCTGTTATTGCGGTCGCTGTGCTCGACGTCTCGCCTCGATTTTTACCGTGTAGCTCACGCACAGTGCTGTCTGTATTTGCACATGAATCGTCACGAATTCCAAGGCAGAGTCCGTCGTGTCACAGACAGGACGGGGTGCATTTCCCGTGATGTAATATGTACACCGAAGCTTTCGTTTTGTACCGGTTCTTGTAGTTCTGTCGAGCGAGTAAAGATGACACACCAACCCAAACCTTTCGTTGCCAACAAAAATATCGTCCGTGTCGTTAGCTCTGTTGCTACATGCTTGTTCTGGGCACGTGTTGTGGTAATTTACACACGTTTTTTTTTTGTTAGTGGCGATCGTCTGTGGGAAATGGAAACAGTATCCCCCCCGGCTTTCCTAGAGCACACTGAATATCCACCTATAAACAAGACCAATAGAACACAACATCTCAACGAAAGTATAGGCTTGGCACAGGGCATACAGCATTGAACCTACCCCATCCATGAAAGCTCTCCCTTCCCCCCGTCCCCTTCGTAATGGCGACCCCATCCTTGCCCCTCCTCGACGGGGCGTTTATTGTACTTCTTGGGGTAATAACATGCACGGCGGTCTCCAGTCCAAGATGGAGGGGCTCAACTCGGGCGCCCGAGGAGGCGGCGGATCGAGCGGCATGTCCAAGGAGGAGCTGAGGCAGTACGGTGAGCAGCGAGAGGCGCAGCGGCAACGGGGTTCGCTGGTCGATCTGTCTCGTCAATGCAACAGCGGCGGAGGCGGTAGAGGCAGTAGCTTGAGCAGCAGCGCGGTAGGATGGACCCGGCTGGGTGCGGTAAATACAGCCTATTTTTTCGGCGGAAACTCTCCTCTGGTGTGGGGGTGCGGGGGGGGGGGGGGGG